ATAGAACTGTCTATAGTCTGGACTATAGAACTGTCTATAGTCTGGACTATAGAACTGTCTATAGTCTGGACTATAGAACTGTCTATAGTCTGGACTATAGAACTGTCTATAGTCTGGACTATAGAACTGTCTATAGTCTGGACTATAGAACTGTCTATAGTCTGGACTATAGAACTGTCTATAGTCTGGACTATAGAACTGTCTATAGTCTGGACTATAGAACTGTCTATAGTCTGGACTATAGAACTGTCTATAGTCTGGACTATAGAACTGTCTATAGTCTGGACTATAGAACTGTCTATAGTCTGGACTATAGAACTGTCTATAGTCTGGACTATAGAACTGTCTATAGTCTGGACTATAGAACTGTCTATAGTCTGGACTATAGAACTGTGTATAGTCTGGACTATAGAACTGTGTATAGACTGAACTGTTCTGTTTAAAAGCTTAAATTTATCTACCATTGTTTTTACAACTTTTTCCATTGTACTTTATAGAGATGCTGTTACTGTTAACAATAAAATTATTTTGTGTGCAAAAATATTTTATTACATTTTTGGTTTTAACTTGTGGTGGGACTGACTGACAAGTGTTCCAATGGATTTAAATTGTTTTTTACATGTGGTGTGGTTTACGAAACCCTCAAAAACCGGTTACATTTAAAATGAATGCATATACAGTAGTTTTCCGATTTAACGAACCCATATGTTGTCAGGCCTGTTCGTAAAATTGAAAAGTTCGTTATATGCAGTACTAACTAAAACGTGGGTTTTTGGTAGGAAAATAATTAAAAATAGGTACATAAAATATTTTTAAATGTATTTTATAAAAATAGCACAAAACCACAAAATTCCGAATCTTATATACCCACCTTCAAACCATATTTGTGTCGAATTTAATCGCTGTATTTTTAATTCAGTCATGAGCTTTAAAGTTATTTCTCGAAGTTCATCGCTATACTCGTATTTTTAAGCGAGTAATGAGCGTTGAAGTAATTTTCTTAAGGGGGCCTGATATGGAGGGTAAGATCAATTATGGACCGATTCCCATTAATTTGTTAGAGATATCGGTTAGTATAGAACATGTTTGTATTGAATTTCATCGGAGTACTCGTATTGTTAAGCGAGTATTGAGCGTTAAAGTCATTATCTGAAGGACGGACGGACATAGCTACATCGAACTAAAATTTAATAAGAACCCAGAATGTGTTACAGTTTTGGGTATAAAAGCACCGCTTAAAACAACGGTATAGTTTTTTGCTACACACTTAGGTTATTTGTTATTTTTGATAAATGTCATTTTATCTTCATTTAAATATAATATTTTTATTAGTTCGTTAAACAGAGTACAAAAAACAAGTTTTGTTCGTTATTTAAGGTAGTCAATAGGAAAAATTAGCTTGTTCGTTAATGCGATGTTCGTAGAATTGAATGGTCGTTAAATCGGAAAACTACTGTATTGCCAAACGAGATAATTTTTATGGAGTACCATATAATGATTAAATGACGCATTGTGAATCAGGCTATAAAGTAAATTAAATTGAAATAATTATTATTACATGGTGTTTTTTGTGTTTTATTTGATTTGGATTTTTGTTTATTATTAAACTGTTGAGAGGTCTGATGGGGTCATATTAAGATTCGATATAGTTTTAAAATGTAATTGAGAATATTTTGCACGATCTTAGATTTACATAAATGTGGTTTGTGTATAATGCCAGAAATTAAAGCATGAAGGATTTGGAGGTTTTATACAAAATAAGTAAGAACTTGGTTATATTTCATTTAGTAAATATGGTAGTTCTAGCATATAAGAAGGTAGTCTCTAGTATGAAACGGCAGTCTTAAGTTACTACTTTTTATATGAGACCGTAGTTTTTGATATAACCCTGTAGGTATGATCTTTAATATAAGACCGTAGTCTTTAGTATAAGATAATGTAGTCTTTGGGGTATGAAATGAAACGAAACGAACAAATTAAGTAATATATTTTCTTTAGTATATGAAGCCATCTTCAGTTCAAAACCTTCCGATTAAAGTAATATTTAACGATAGCTTTGTAATTTTGGGAATTTTTTACAACGTATTGAAAATTTTCTTAAAAAAAAAGAATAATTGTAGATAATTTTCTAGCAATAAAGAAAAGTTATTAAAAATTGTCTATAAAGGTAGAAAATTTTATAAAAAAGTAGAAAATATATTGAAAAAATTTAAAATTTATCGAAAATATTTGTTTATAAAAGTACAAAATTATTGATATTTTTCTTATAAAAATTTAGTTCATAAAAGTAGGAAATTTATTGAAAATTTTCTATAAAAAGTATAACATTTATCAAAATTTTCTTTAAAAGAGGTAAATTTATCGAAAATTTTCTATAAAAGTAGAAAATTTTCTACTTTTATATGGAAAAATTTATCGAAAATTTTCTACAAAAGTAGAAAATTTATCGAAATTTGCTATAAAAGTAGAAATTTATCGAAATTTGCTATAAAAGTAAAAAATTTATCGAAATTTGCTGTAAAAGTAGAAAATTTATGGAAAATTTTCTATAAAAGTAGAAAATTTATGGAAAATTTTATATAAAAGTAGAAAATTTATCGAAAATTTTCTATAAAAGTAGAAAATTTAACGGAAATTTTCTATAAAAGTAGAAAATTTATCGGAAATTTTCTATAAAAGTAGAAAATTTATCGAAAATTTTCTATAAAAGTAGAAAATTTATCGAAAATTTTCTATAAAATAAATAAAAGTAGAAATGTTATCGAAATTTGCTATAAAAGTAGAAAATTTATGAAAAATTTTCTATAAAAGTAGAAAATTTATGGAAAATTTTCTATATAAGTAGAAAATTTATCGAAAATTTTCTATAAAAGTAGAAAATTTATCGAAAATTTTCTATAAAAGTAGAAAATTTATCGAAAATTTTCTATAAAATAAATAAAAGTAGAAAATTTATTGAAAATTGTTTATAAAAGTAGAAAATTTATCGAAAATTGTTTATAAAAGTAGAAAATTTATCGAAAATTTTCTATAAAAGTAGAAAATTTATCGAAAATTGTTTATAAAAGTAGAAAATTTATCAAAAATTTTCTATAAAAAGTAGAAAATTTATCAAAAATTTTCTATAAAAAGTAGAAAATTTATCAAAAATTTTCTATAAAAGTAGAAAATTTATCGAAAATTTTCTATAAAAGTAGAAAATTTATCGAAAATTTTCCATAAAAGAAGAAAATTTATCGAAAATTTTCTATAAAAGTAGAAATTTTATCGAAAATTTTTTATAAAAGTAGAAAATTTATCGAAAATTTTCTATAAAAGTAGAAAATTTATCGAAAATTTTCTATAAAAGTAGAAAATTTATCGAAAATTTTCTATAAAAGTAGAAAATTTATCGAAAATTTTCTATAAAAGTAGAAAATTTATCGAAAATTTTCTATAAAAAGTAGAAAATTTATCGAAAATTTTCTATAAAAAGTAGAAAATTTATCGAAAATTTTCTATAAAAGTAGAAAATTTATCGAAAATTTTCTATAAAAGTAGAAAATTTATCGAAAATTTTCCATAAAAGAAGAAAATTTATTGAAAATTTTCTATAAAAGTAGAAATTTTATCGAAAATTTTTTATAAAAGTAGAAAATTTATCAAAAATTTTCTATAAAAAGTAGAAAATTTATCAAAAATTTTCTATAAAAGTAGAAAATTTATCAAAAATTTTCTATAAAAGTAGAAAATTTATCGAAAATTTTCTATAAAAGTAGATAATTTATCGAAAATTTTCTATAAAAGTAGAAAATTTATCGAAAATTTTCTATAAAAGTAGAAAATTTATCGAAAATTTTCCATAAAAGAAGAAAATTTATCGAAAATTTTCTATAAAAGTAGAAATTTTATCGAAAATTTTTTATAAAAGTAGAAAATTTATCGAAAATTTTCTATAAAAGTAGAAAATTTATCGAAAATTTTCTATAAAGTAGAAAATTTATCGAAAATTTTCTATAAAAGTAGAAAATTTATCGAAAATTTTCTATAAAAGTAGAAAATTTATCGAAAATTTTCTATAAAAGTAGAAAATTTATCGAAAATTTTCTATAAAAGTAGAAAATTTATCGAAAATTTTCTATAAAAGTAGAAAATTAGAAATTATTATCGAAAATTTTCTATAAAAGTAGAAAATTTATCGAAAATTTTCTATAAAAGTAGAAAATTTATCGAAAATTTTCTATAAAAGTAGAAAATTTATCGAAAATTTTCTATAAAAGTAGAAAATTTATCGAAAATTTTCTATAAAAATAGAAAATTTATCGAAAATTTTTTATAAAAGTAGAAAATTTATCGAAAATTTTCTATAAAAGTAGAAAATTTATCAAAAATTTTCTATAAAAGTAGAAAATTTATCAAAAATCTTCTATAAAAGTAGAAAATTAATCGAAAATTTTGGACTATGGAACAGTCTATAGTCTGGACTATGGAACAGTCTATAGTCTGGACAGTCTATAGTCTATAGAACAGTCTATAGTCTGGACTATGGAACAGTCTATAGTCTGGATAGTCTATAGTCTATAGAAAATTTATGGAAAATTTTCTATAAAAGTAGAAAATTTATCGAAATTTTCTATGAAAATATTAAATTTATGGAAAATTTTCTATACAAATAGTAAATTTATCGAAAATTAAATATAATTCCAATTTGCGACAAATAGAAACATACCTTCCTTTACCTTACCCCTAAGGGTTAACAAAACTATAGCTATGGCAAAAATGTAATTAATAATGTTCTTTACAAGATAAAATAATTAATAAAAACAATCGTTATTTTTATGATTTTTGTGATTTGTTTTTTATTATTGTTTATAATAGTTTTTATTTTTGTTGCAATTGTTTTTTCCTAGTTAAAAAAAATAAGAGTATAATTAAATCAATTTTAAATACATACATGTTTTGTAATGGTAATTCAAAGTAAATCGTAAAAAAAACAAGTAAAATAATTAAATGTTTGTGGATTGTTGTTGTGATTTAAATTGTTTTTAATTTTATATATTTTTTTATTATATTATACAAAAAACGTTAGTGATAAAATTTAAAATTACTACTACCTCAGTTATGTAGCCTTTGCCGGTCTGTTTCGGTTTCCATTTCATATTCAATTTCGACTTTAGGCTTTTTAAGACGTCTTTTCGTTTTACCAGCGGACACTGCAGAAACACCATTTGTTTTCGATTTACTCTTAGAGGCAGCAGCCGTAGATGGTTTAGATTTGGTAGGCGATTTGGGAGGAGCACGTACAAAGGCACCAGCAGCTGTATCCTGATAGAAGATTATATACAATGGTTTTTATTTCTGATAAGCACTTGAATTTTTGAATTACTTTTAACACAAATTCTTGCAAAACTTTTTGTTTAATTCCTTCCTTTAAAAAAAACTTGATTTTTTAAAACAATTTTAATAAATGACCGTGATTTCTGCTAATGAGATCTTTTATTTTTATTTTTTATAAACACGTTTTCTTTATTATGATGCGTTTTACTTTCAATTTAAACTTTATTTATTTCCTTTTTTTCTAGTGCCTTAATTTAATTCATTTTAGCTACACAAACATTTCTTATCTTTGTTTTGATATAATCTTCTATATATATTTTTTTATTAATAAATTTTATCTTTATTTGTTATTTGAACTAAACTCGCGTAAACGAATTATTTAATAGCGAAATGTATAACTGTAACAATTCATTGGTGGGCTTTTCGTTGTCAAACGCGCCAGACTAACTGTTTTGGTTTTGTTGAATGAAATTCTTTGCAAGTCTCTCAATTAAAAAATATAAAATCTGAATCTGAAATTTATTGTTGACTATATGTTTATAAAGAAAAAAATAAAAACACATACAAAGATTATAATCTAAGTGGCAAATAACAATCATATTAACAGTAGAGAAGTTTTTTTTTTTTTTTGTTTGCTTTTGTTGGTGGAGAGATAATAGCCGGTTAGTCTGTCAGTTAGTCAGTCAGTCGAGTATTAAAAGTAGAAGTAAATTAATGAATAGTTGTGGTACTTGTGGTAGCAGCAACAGCAGCACACATATGATTTGTTTGCTATATTATATATTTAATTTAACTTTTTTTATTTAATATTATGTTGAACATAAATTTACCCCCTTAAGCTTTCATGCTTGATATGATGATGCAGCAATTCAATGTCTTTGGATTTTAAAGTTTTGAGTTTTTAATATTTGAAAGCAGTTGTTATAAAGAATTTGATCATTTTTTATTTTTGAAAAAAGATCCGTAAAATTTTTGGAAAATATGTATATTTAGAAAATTTGGATAAAATTATCGATAAATTTTCTATTTTTATGGAAAATTTCGATAATTTTTTTTTTAGAAAATTTTCAATTTTTATAGAAAATTTTAAATAAATTTTGAAGTTTTATAGAAAATTTTCAATAAATTTTCTATTTTTATAGAAAATTTTCAATAAATTTTCTATTTTTATAGAAAATTTTCGATAAATTTTCTATTTTTATAGAAAATTTTCGATAAATTTTCTATTTTTATAGAAAATTTTCGATAAATTTTCTATTTTTATAGAAAATTTTCAATAAATTTTCTATTTTTATAGAAAATTTTCAATAAATTTTCTATTTTTATAGAAAATTTTCGATAAATTTCAAATTTTTATAGAAAATTTACTATTTTTATAGAAAAATTTCGACAAATTTTTTATAAAAAATGTTTGATAAATTTTCTTTCTTATAGAGAATTTTCGATAAATTTACTATTTTTATAGATAATTTTCGATACAATTTCTATTCATATAGAGAATTTTAGATAAAATTCATATTGAAAAGTTTTCTATTTTATTTCGATAAATTTTCAATTTCATAGAAAAATTTTATTTTTTTATAAAAAATTTTTGATTTTTATAAAAATTGTAAAAAATATTTATAGAAAATTTTGTAGAAAATAAAAAATGTTTGATAAATTTTCAATTTTTATAGAAAAATTTCGATAAATTTCTATTTTTAAAAACATTTCAATAAATATTCTATTTTTATAAATAAATTTCCTTTTCATAGACATTTTTCAATAAATTCCCTTTTTTACGAAATTTGCAATAAATTTTTTGTTTTTGGAAAACTTTCGATAAATTTTCTTTAAAACTTCTTTAAACTTTCAATAAATTTCTTTTTATAGAAAAATTTTCAATAAATTTTCTTCTTTTCAGATGATTTTCGCTAATTTTACGATAAATGTTATTTTACAGAATATTTCCTTTTTATTATTTTTCGATAAATTTCTTTTTTATAAGTTTTCAAATAAATTTTCTTTTTTTAGAAATTTTTCAATAAATTTCTTTTTTAGAAAATTTGCAATAAATTTCCTATTTTATAAACCTTTCGATACATTTCCTTTATAAAAAAATTGTTGATACATTTTCTTTTTATAGAAAACTTTCGATAAATTTTCTTTATATTTTATATATTTACTATAAATTTACATTTATAGAAACATTTTCGCTAAATTTTCTTTTTTAAAAATTCGATAAATGTTAATTTTTTAGAAAATTTATTCATTTCGAAGCATAATTTATATTATTAATTACAAAAATATTCAATAAATTTCCTCTCCTTTTGGCAATGGTGTATTGCAGCTATTTCAGTGAAAATGTGGGCCACAAGTAATAAATAGCACAAAAAGTAATTAAATCCTCCAATGAACCATTTAAAATTACTTCATAAAATAATTATTAAACATGTATTTTGTTACTGCTAGAAAAATATTCATGTTCTTTTGTAATTCATTTAGGTAGCGTGTCAGTCGGTCAATTTAGTTTCGATTGTAAGAAAATAATTTAAGTGTTAAAATTGTTGTTATTATGAGAAAATTAGAGAAGTAATAAAATGAAAATTGTTAACAAGTTAAAAAACGTCATAGATATGTAAATATTCCAAACATTAAAATATTTTAGTTTTATTTGCAACAAGGGCCGGCATCTATGGCCAACAGGGGCTTACAGCAATCAGCAACTTGTCAATAACAAGTACTCACAACGAATGACATCTTTGTTTTTAAAAGAATTAGCTTTGAATAAAGTCTCTTCTCTCCATTATCAATTTAGCAAACACTATCTTTACTATAAGAAAAAATTTAAAATATCTTTCTTTCAGCCAAGATTTCGAGACAAATGTTAATATACTGTCTACTGAAACTGCTTCGGAACACTACTTCTATCAATTTCTTATTAAAAATCTGCAAAAATTCCTTTTCTCGAAATTCCTTTATCCTCTTGATACTTTAGTTTTGCACTTCATGTTTAAAAGAAAACAAATATATGTTTCCACTTACCTCAATATCTGAACCATCACCATCCTCATCATCTGATACCTCAAAATCACTATCAACTTCAACATCTTCTCTTTCACCCGAATCACTAGAGGCACCATCATCATCATCGTCGTCGATTTCTTCCTCCGAATCAGCTTCAACAAATTCTTCATCTAAAAGTTCTCTTCTTAACTCCTTAGCTTCACTTTCATCATCCATTTCATGTTCTAATTCTTGTTCTTCTTCCATATCTTCTTCATCCTCATCTTCAATTTCTTCGGCAGCCAAAGCCTTGTTGAAAGCAGTTTGTGAGAAATTGTAAATATCCTGGTAGGTGCCACGTTTTAAACGTTCCATAAGTTCCTTTTCAATATGATTCTCAATCTTGGCCGCCACCAAAGCCTTCTGTTCTCTTCTAGTCTCTCTTCTTTCGATCTTAGTGGATAAGGGTACAATCAACTTTTGACGTCTCAGCTTTAATTTACGCATACGTATCAAATATTGTGTGATTTTTAAGAATCTTTGTTTATTTTTGGCTATCATATATTTGGGCCAAAATACTAGATTTTCATTGATCTGTTGTATGGCTTTTTCGAAATTACGCGACAGTTTAACACGTTCCCACATTTTGCTGGGCATATGAGCTCTTTCGGCTGTTTTCATGTAAAGATAAATGATACCTTTTTCTTCGCGTACGGTGGCATATTGTGAATTGGCCAGTGGACAGGTACGTCTGGTGCACATACCGGTTATATTGTATTCATGGCGACAAAAGGTACGTGTATCGGTTCTATAATAGGAAAAGAGATAGAAATTTCAGGAATTCTATAGCAAAAACAACAAACTCTACTTACTTGACTTTGTGTGAGCAAAATGTTTTATTGATGATGCTCCAAACAACCTGTAATTTGAAGTAAAATAATCACTTTAATTGTAAATTAATTTATAAAAATTATTATTTATAACTCACATCATCGTGCTGCATTTTGTTTTATTTAATTTTATGAAAAATTTCTGTTAAAAATAAGCTAAAATACGAATAAAAATTGCTTTTGGAACACGTGCAACAGCGATGTTTTGAACTGAGTTTCTATTTCTTCCCACTTTGACAGTTGTTTGAGTGTTCTCTCTTGTTTCATTTTTTTTTAACAGAGTTGCATTTTTTAAGTAGTAATCAAAGTATATTAATAAAGTAGCGACATCTCTTGTTGTACAACAACATCTACAACAACCACATGTATTTTGTTTTTGGAAAATTTAAGATTGTGTCAAAATAAAATTTCCTTGAAAAACAATGTGAACAAAACATTAATAAAAAATATTACTTTTAAGCTAAAGATATTAACGATTTAATTATATTATTATATATTATACAATTTATTACACTTTTAAACTACTCTAAAACCACTTTTAATTCACTTTTTCAACTTTTCACAAATTTTAACAAATAGCAAAACACAATTTAAAAATGGCGACGTAAACAATGTTAACAATTTTCAAAACAAACTTTGACAATTTGCTTCATTTATCTAGTTTAAAAAAAATAGTCAGCTGTTCAAGTGATGCTACTTTATTAATTTACTTTGGTAGTAATATTGAAAAAGAGAGTGTGGTTACTTTAAGTGTTTATTCGTTATTGTTGCTACAGACATTTAAAATGATTATTTCTAAATGTTTCGTAGTTTTGTTGAAATATTCAGGGAGTTTTTGTCGAATAACGAGAAAGAGATATAACAAATATGGAATCGAACATAAATAGACTAATAAAAACCAATTAAAGCTGACTACATTGACATTCAGACATGTCAAAATTTTCAAATAAAATTAAAAATATTATAGTGTAGACACAAAGTGTAATAAAATAAAACTTATTGAAAATACGGATGGAAAATTGAAAGTCGTATGATTTTTTTAATTTTTTTTAATTTCAAAACGATTTGATTTTTTCGTTTTATCAGAGTGTTATTTTTATTCAAACACAGAAAAAAAACAAAGACATAAACAAAATCCAATTTAAAATTAAAATTTATGTTTTTTCTTTGAATTTTTTCGAATTAAAGTTTAATTTTAAGTGTGGTAGTGAGAAACAAAAAATATTTTCTATTTAATTTTTTGACAACCATACCAAGTTTCATTTCATTTTGTTTTGGCAGTATGAAATAGAAATCTAACGACTAAATTCTTAAAACGCTTTTGTTTTTACTAATTTTTTTAATAATTTTCATATAAACCTATACTATTATCTATAATATGCAACATTATCGCGAGAAATTCCATAACAGGGGTTTAAAGAACAATGTTCTCTTTAAGATAATGTAATACAAATGCAAAAATGTTTGCAAAAATGTTTATTTTTCTCATTTAGAAAAAGTAATATTTATACAAAACTTCATCGCCTTTGGTGCGGAAACATTTTTCACGATCGCGAAAAAATCATATTATATTCCTTAACATCTGTTGACACCCTACTATGTCTCGCTATGGTATTTTTGATATTCGCAAAAATTTTAAAAAGTTATACCCCAAATGTACATATTAAACAACTTATAACGAAATGAAGTATGTTTATGTAAACGTCATAATATAAAAAATCATCGAAATTTTGCAAAATAAAATTGATCAAGTAAATAGAAAATATTATTGTAAATTTTCAAATATATAAAAATTTATCAAAAAATATCTTAAAATAATAATTTATAAAAAAAAATTTCAAAAAATTAAAATTTATTGAAAATTTACTAAAAATAAAATTGTTTGTAAATTTTCTAAAAATAATAAATTATTGAAAATTTTTAAAAATAAAAACTTATCGTAAATTTTTTAAAAATAATTTTTTTTTTAAATTTGTTTTAAATTTTGAAATATCAAAAAATTACTGAAAATAAATTTTTCATAAATTTGAAATTTTAAAGAAATTATTAAAAATAAAGTTAATTTAAAAATTTCTAAAAATAATAATTTATTGAAAATTTTCTAGAAATAAAAAGTTATCGATTTTTTTTTAATTAAACACTTTTCTAAAATTATAAAGTTTATCAAAAAAATGCTACAAATAGAAAATTTTCTAAAAATATAAAATTTACTAAAAAATCAAGGTTTTAGTTTTTCATAATACATACTATCTAAATTTCAAACTTTTGAACAATTATCGAATTCTTACATCTTTTATAAAACCGAGGTGATTAACTCCAAGAGGACCACTAACTAGTACCCTTTTCCATAACCATAATTTTTTCTAAAAACGATAATTTATTAAACATTTTCTAAAAATAAAAGTTAACGTAATTTTTTTTTTTAATAAACACTTTTCTAAAGTTTTAAAATTTAAAAAATGCTACAAATAGAAAATTTTTCAAAAATAGAATATTTACTAAGAACTAAAAAATTAAAAGGTTATTGTTTCTCATAATACTATCTATATTTAAAAATATTTATCGAATTTTTTTATAGAACCGAGGTGATTAACTCTAAAAAGACTACTCACTAATACCCCTTCCATAATCACATTTTAAAATTAAGCACTTTCGAAACTTTAGGAAAAATTAAGCACTTTCGAAGTTCAAAATTATATGGAAGTAATTTTGAACTTCATGTCTATTCCAAAAACTGTTTTGGTAATACAGAAAACGAAAAGTGACATTATTAAAATACTTTAATGATTTCCTAGACCAATAGTAATGTATAAACAAATTGTTATTATTCCATATGCATGTCTCACAACAAATCTCTACTTAATTGACATTTAATTTTTATGATTTTCCCACAACTAGTTAACATATGTTTTTCATATTTGTCAACAAACCAGAAAAACAAAAATAACGTAAACAATTTAAAATTCAAATTCTACCTGTATTTTTGGTTTTCTTTCGTTGATTACTACTACCTACTACTATTTTTCTGCAACCATGTTAACATTGTTTGTCTCTCTGTATAAAACTACCGGTTGAGGTGAGTTTTCATTTCACTCGCTCATTAAATGTCAAACAGCGTGCTTGTTGAAAAAAACTAGAAGTGACAGGCGTGCGGCGGCATTTTTTATACATAATTTTTTAATTTACAAAAACTTAATTAAATGAACTTTTAAGCAAAAAACGTGCAAATTAAAGCAATAGTGAATAATAAAAAAGTGTTAAATAAATTTGTTGTTTTTTTCAAAGAGGAAAATATGAATAACAATGTTTTGCTCTCGTTGGCCATGAGCATAATACCAATGCTGGCCATTGGTTTTGTGGTATTATTAGTAATTTATAAAATTTATATTAAAATACGGTAAGTTTTTTTAAAAATTTAATTGTTTAATGCTTGAAGTGAAGTGTTAAGCTAATAAACCAGTTATTTAAGTTTTCAGATAGAAAATGCAAATAAAACAATGACTTCATGCGCGCCTTTTTATTATTTATTATTCATTTACTATTTTCTTATTTTACTATCTCTATTTATAGTTCACGTTTCAACGTCACTGTCAACTGTTGGTTTTGTAATCAAAACACTAAAGTGCCCTACTTAGATGCGAATAGTTGGACTTGCCCCGCTTGCGAACAGTATAATGGTTTCGACAAGGATGGCGATTATAATCGTGAAATCTATGAACAATTGGACTGTAGCCGTAGTTCGGAACGTTTTAATGTCTCCCAACCTTCAGCGTGTGCCATACAGCAGACATCCCAGAATGGTTTTTGCGAAATGTGCAATGAGGCTCAACGTTTGAAAGTGGAAAAATTGGCCCAATTTGAGCCTAAGAATGAATCGCATTGGGATGAGGAATTAAAAGTTTATAAGTGAGTAAAATAAGTATTTAATTTTTGGCGCTGAAATCGAATTCTGCTGTTTCAGCAGCTGTTTTTTGTTTCAATTTTTTTACCTGTTTATTTCGATTATCATGCTCGTTCTTTTACATTGTCTTGGACTTTATACCTGCTGAAGGTTTTCTTTTGTTTTTAATTTACATCTGTTAGGAATATGTTTGTTTGTTTTGAAAACAAAAAACTACTTTTAGCAGATTAGTATAATGACATTATTAGATTGTTATAGGTATGTGTTAAAAATTTGCTGAAATATAACTCATATTTATAATTATAGTTCGGTTCTAGTTGAGTTCTATATTAGTTCTAGTTTCGTTCGAGTTCAGTTCTAGTTCGATTGTTATACTTTATTTATAGTTCAGTTTTAGTTCGGCTCTAGTTCAGTTCTACTTTAGTGCTAGTTCTGTTCTAGTTCAGTTCTAGTTTAGTTCTAGTTTAGTTCTAGTTCAGTTCTAGTTCAGTTCTAGTTCAGTTCTAGTTCAGTTCTAGTTCAGTTCTAGTTAATTTCAAGTTCAGTTCTAGTTCACTTCTAGTTCAATTCTAGTTCAGTTCTAGTTCAGTTCTAGTTCAGTTCTAGTTCAGTTCTAGTTCAGTTCTAGTTCAGTTCTAGTTCAGTTCTAGTTCAGTTCTAGTTCAGTTCTAGTTCAGTTCTAGTTCAGTTCTAGTTCAGTTCTAGTTCAGTTCTAGTTCAGTTCTAGTTCAGTTCTAGTTCAGTTCTAGTTCAGTTCTAGTTCAGTTCTAGTTCAGTTCTAGTTCAGTTCTAGTTCAGTTCTAGTTCAGTGCTAGTTCAGTTCTAGTTCAGTTCTAGTTCAGTTCTAGTTCAGTTCTAGTTCAGTTCTAGTTCAGTTCTAGATTAGTTCTAGTTCAATTCCAGTTCATTTCTAGTTCAGTTATAGTTTAGTTCTAGATCAACTTTAGTTCAGTTCAGTTTTAGTTCAGTTCTGGTTTAGTTTATTTCTGGTTTAAATCTCTTTCAGCACTTTACCCCTTTCCTACAAACTTATTAATTCGTTTCTCTCTTTCCCTTTTCCTAGAGCCCAACTAGAGGATCAATATCGTCTCTGCTCCACCTGTGATCGTCATCTCAATAAAGTTTTGCGCGAGAAAAAGAAAATGGTTTTGGGCTCGAAATTTTTAGATTTTATCATCAAAGGAGCTGAAACTTTAAAACAACCACATCTAAATCAAATTCAACATGCTAATCAACAGAAAAGGAAACAAAAATTACGTACACTTATCACCATACTAACCCTTATCAATATAAGTTGTCTTTTTACCTCATTACCATCCCTAAACAAAGAACATTTTACGCAAATTTTAGGCGAATCCTTAGGTCATCAAATATTTTTAATAACATCTCATGTCATAGCACTAACAAAGGTTATGGGTTCCTATTTTGCGACCATCAAAGAGCATGCGGTGGTAACAAAGATATCATTATTTTCACGTACACTTTTCATGATGATTATGTATTCGTTGGGTCTAAAAGTTAGTCATTTTAATTTTTCCTCTTTATATATAAGCATTTGTCCATTTGCTATATTGGCTTTGGCCTTTATGCATAATGTTGTAGATGGTTTTCGTTTGACAAGGTATACAGCAATGATGGTGGTATGGAGTTTGTTTGCTGGTGGTTTAATAGAAGAAAATTTGTTGTCCCTTACGCCACAACTTTTAATGGTAAGTTTTTTTCTTTTAAAGAACAAAAATTTATAATTTATTAATGTATTTTTTTTTATTTGCAGTTCTTAACCTCTTTAGTAACTTGTTTAATGGCCTACAGCTCTAAACCGGAACCTTCTCCCAGGCTGCATGACAACACCGCCAATAGTTTCCATAAAATCTATTCCGAAGATTATCTCAGCGATGAGGAAACTATGAGCATGTTGAGCCAACAATTGAACGGTAGTTGTGTTTCGATGCGCAGTGTACGTTCTAACAAATCCTTACGCGTTCCCTCTCCTTTGATGCATGCTAATACTAAACGTTCCCCCCGACTAACCAAATCCCCTCTAACCTCCTCCGCCTTTTCCCTACACCAACTGCCTCGCACACAACTATCGCCCAATTCTAGTTTCCGTAGCTATGCCGGTGAGGAGAATCAAACCTTAAGAGGCAACTTTGCTACACCCATGGCTATGCCTGTAACAGCTCGTCCCGGTTTGTTTGCTTCCAATTTAGAACTGAATTGTAGGGAAAGACCACAATCCACCATCTTTGGCATGAATGCTTCAGTGGCCAATTCTACGATATTAAATAATTCCTTTACAGAGAACAATAAATCACATTTTGGCAACAGCACCCATGCTAATGAGGCCTCATTTTATACTGCCGCCAATAATACAGCAAATACTTCCATGTTTGTTAATAACCACACTTTTGTGGCTCCCAGCAGCCAGTCGGGTTTACATTCACCCTTTTCTGTGTCCAGCAGTGCGGTTTATCATCATCAGCAGCCTCATAATCAAAGGCCCAATACTCATCATAAATTACTTTCACCCACCAGATTTAGTACAAATAATTTAACTTCTTCCAATACTTCCTGGTTGTCGGGTGGTTATTTTAATCAGAGACAGTCTTTGGCTGACATACCACGCACTGGCTTAATTATACCCACCGCTCAGACACAATCTCTTATCACTCCCATGGAGGAATGTTTATCCAGATCTTCTTCTCATTCATCGGGGTTTGAGTCTCAAAATGGTCGTCTCAACGGCAACAACATGTCGCGTGAAAATTCCTTATGTCCTGACTTTAGTCTCGACTATCATCAGAGAACTTTAACCCATGAAAATATCAACAATAGTTTCCAGCCTATAGATTCTCCCAGTTTGGGTGCCTTTTCTCCCAGACCTTCTTTGCTATCCAATCCTAATCTAAATAGTTTTCCTTTAGAACACACCGATATATGGAAACAACCTAATTTTACCCGCAAATCCCATAATAGTAATAATACAAATACAAATTTTTCTAGAAATTCTATAGATTCCTTTAATTTACGTAAAATCAATGAGGAATTGCCCTCCATAAAAAGAGGTGATTTATTAAAGAAATGGAAAGAAGGTCAAACCATTTCGTAAACTTCATCTCTCTCTCTTCTCTCACTCTAGTCTTTGTACACAAACCACTATTACCTCTTTAAGACTCTTTTTTTATTATTTTTAATTATGATTTCACTATTTTTTTTATTTCTTTATTTCTTATGATTTTAATATTATTACTTTTTTCATTTTTATTTACTAGTATTGTAAGTTTATAAAGCCAGGCTATACAATTGTTAAATATATTATTTTAATTTTCTTTAATTATATATTTTTCAACCAATTTTGTTACTGGTTTTAATAATAAGTGGACTAGTTGAATATTTCCTAACCTAATTAAGTTTTTAGTTTTTATATTACTACTTTTTTTTAACAAAAAATTATCTTTATATTATAGTTTTTATTTTATAAAATTTAGTAAAATTTTTTGAGTTATTGTACTATCCAATTGTTAATGTTAAAAAAAGTTAAATTTTATTAACAAAAAAAAAACTATGTTTAATAACACTGCCCAGGTTAATAAAAAAAGACTAATATTATTTTTTTGTAAAACTTATTTAGAAAAAATATAAATCTTTAAGAAAAAATTTAAAAATAAAGATTTTTTGTAAAAAAAACTCAGTGTTTTCTATAAATTTTTTGGTTTGGAAACTATTTTATTATTCTGTAAATTAAATTGGAATCTACTGTACTGATCTGTTTCAACTGACACTCGAAATTGGAAATTTCAGTACAATCGAATTGGACTAAGAATATCTAGTTGGAATAGTTTTTCCTTCAGTAAATTCAGCAGTTTAAGTTCATTTCTAATTGAAATTTTCAACTTATACATTATATTGGCAAAAAAAAATCCGGTTTCACAAACTCACCTTAGATCTATCCAAAGTCCATAATGGTTAGGTTCCGCATTATTTCCGTACTGGATTCGTACAATTCTGATCCCTTTGATCTGTTCATTTCCTGAAACATATTACAAAAGAATTGTTAAAATCGAAGAAAAGGAAAATTTTAGTTTAGCTATTTATATATTAATCTATTCCATTACTCATCTGATTTGCATTTCTTAGGTCAAAAATATCCTCCGATTTTGAACCTACATATGTATATCGAATGTTATTGTATTTTATTATTAATTCCTATTATTTAAACGTTCACTGAATTAAGCCATGCTATTTTTGGGTCAACTACTTAAAATGGGAAACATAATTTTTCATGAACTGAACATTGGGAAACTAAACTATTAATATATATATATGTAGTTCGTTTGTATGTGGATTCCACGCACCTAATCTTTCAGATCGATCTATCTTTTATATCTATCTATCTATCTATCTATCTATCTATCAGCTAGCTAGCGAGCCGAGCGACTAGCGATCAGAGAGCGAGCGAGCGAGGCGAGCACCGAGAGCGACCGAGCTAGCTAGCGAGCTAGCGCGAGCGAGCAGCTACCGACTAGCGGCGGCGATCGATCCTAGCAGGAGCGATCGATCGAAGCTAGCGATCTATCATCTAGGATCTATCTATCTATCTATCTATCTATCTATCTATCTATCTATTTATCTATCTATCTATCTATCTATCTATCTATCTATCTATCTATCTATCTATCTATCTATCTATCTATCTATCTATCTATCTATCTATATATCTATCTATCTATCAATCTATATATCTATCTATCTATCTATCTATCTATCTATCTATCTATCTATCTATCTATCTATCTATCTATCTATCTATCTATCTATCTATCTATCTATCTATCTATCATCTATCTATCTATCTATCTATCTATCTATCTATCTATCTATATATATCTATCTATCAATCTATCTATCTATCTATCTATCTATCTATCTATCTATCTATCTATCTATCTACCTCTATCTATCTATCTATCTATCTATCTATCTATCTATCTATCTACCTATATCTATCTATCTATCTATCTATCTATCTATCTATCTATCTATCTATCTATCTATCTATCTATCTATCTATCTATCTGTCTGTCTGTCTATCTATCTATCTATCTATCTATCTATCTATCTATCTAATCTATCTATCTATCTATCTATCTATCTATCTATCTATCTATCTATCTATATCTATCTATCTATCTATCTATCTATCTATCTATCTATCTATCTATCTATCTATCTATCTACATATCTATCTACATATCTATCTATCTATCTATCTATCTATCTATCTATCTATCTATCTATCTATCTATCTATCTATCTATCTATCTATCTATCTATCTATCTGTCTATCTCTCTATCTATCTACATATCGATCTATCTATCTATCTATCTATCTATCTATCTATCTATCTATCTATCTACATATCTATCTACATATCGATCTATCTATCTATATCTATCTATCTATCTATCTATCTATCTATCTATCTATCTATCTATCTATCTATCTATCTATCTATCTATCTATCTATCTATCTATCTATCTATCTATCTATCTATCTATCTATCTATCTATCTATCTATCTATCTATCTATCTATCTATCTATCTATCTATCTATCTATCTATCTATCTATCTATCTATCTATCTATCTATCTATCTATCTATCTATCTATCTATCTATCTATCTTCAGAAATTTGCACTTTGATTTCAATTATTTGATTGTATTTCAAAAAATTTGTTTTTGTTTACAAACATTCTGATATACAAATTTCCAAAATATTGTACAATTACAAATGACTGAAAATGTTGCAGTTATTTATAATTATGCGCAATTTGCACTATGGGACAAACTTGTACTTATGATTTTAAAAATTTTCACAAATTTCTCCCACATAAAATTTTTTTTTTTAATTTTTCCTCAATTAACAATTTATTTTCTTAAAATAATAAAAATTTTGTCTTTTTTTTGCGTTACAAAATTTACAGTAATAATTTGTACCAAATTAATTAAAACATCTCCAACTCAAATTTAATATACAATTTCAGTATAAGTTAAAAAAAATCTAACAATACATCACAACTTATGGCCTTGTTAGGCCATTACTTCCTCGTTCGCCGCCTCCTCTAGTCTTGCAATGAAGCAGTAGAATCACGTACCAAATTCTCCCTACATTCTTCGGGATTTATTAACACCTTAATAAGATGCTCGACAGTGGGACGCTCAGCTGTGCAATAGACTTTTAAACCCTTGTTCTCTAAAGCACGTCTGGTACTGGGACCTATGGCCACTAGACGATATTTATCCATGTTTATGTCTTTAGCTTTAAAATACTCGTGAGCACAATTCACACCAGAGGGAGAGAAGAAAGCTAAAAATTCAACATTCTCCGCCATCAAGGCTTTTTCCATTTTTTCAAATAAATCGGGATTACATTTTGTTTCGTAGACCTCACAGGCATCCACACGATAGCCATCCTCACGTAGCCGTACATTTAAGGTATCCTGAGCTATATTACTGCAAGGCAAGAGAAAGGGTAAATCTTTGGTGCCGTCATGATTGTCTATTATAAATTCGGCCAAATTGCGAGCATTTCCGGTAGTTTTGCCGTGAGTAAATAATTGCTGCAGCTCGGTTAAGGCAAAATTGTGAGTGACCTCACCAACGGCATAATTATGCAACATTTTCCAACCGCCCGGCAATTCTTGTTTATCCAACGCCTTTACAACGGCCTCCACACAGCGGGGACTGGTGAAAATCAAACCCTCATAGTCATCGGGATGCTGGAGTTTAGCACGCAATTTGTCCAAATTTTTAAAGCCAAACGTAAGAGTCGGTACGAATATGGGATTGAAGAAATGATGTTGCAATTCTGCAGCGTATACCTCGGTACTTTCCGATTCCGATTTAAATATAATCACTGTACGACGATGCATTATTTCTGCTGCTATAGTATAAATTGTTTTATTAATTTGTTAATTTTTACTTCTTCTATGTTCACAGAACGCAACGATCATGCCCGTTAATCAAAATTAAATAAAGAAAATGTAAAATTTTTATAAATTATTTGTTTTTTGTTGGTAGCTGCTGCTACTGCTGCGGTCGTAATGATGCGAGTGGTTGGTGTATTGAACAGATGTTAATGTTTTGATTTTGGCAGCTAAATAATCGATCTTCTATATGAACTTGTTGTTAGTAGCTTATTTATTTTGTTTTTGTATTTATATTGTTATTATTATTTTAGGAAGTAGGAGGAGGAGGGGATACTTACACAAAAACCACTGGCGGTTAGTAATGATGCCATACAACAAGTGTGCTGTAGTTGTATATTATAAAATTATAATTTTGTTTGGTTGCCATATATATTTTTAAGAAAGCCGTCGTAGCGTCATTTCCATTTTAAAATGGAAAATTTTGCTGAGCCTATCAAGCTCAGCAAATTTTTCGCGAAAGTGTAAACAGCAAAAGTGTAAATGCAAAAGTGTAAATGCAAAAGTGTAATCAGCTGATGCAAAAAAAAAATAATACAATTTTTATATATATAAACATTAAATTGTTCTATTTATTGATTACTATAAATTATGCTCACCCAAAATACATTTTTTTGGTTTTAAATTTAAGCTTTCATTAATTTTCATATTAAATTTACAATTTTCTTCTTCTTTTCCATAAAACATTCATTGTTTTGATAGCAAACAGTGACATTTTCTGTTGTTTTGTATGGCAACACTGCGAAGTTTAATCTTGTACTCAAAAACATCAAAGGAGATTAACATGAGATTAAATTTATGATTAGATTAACTGATCTGATTATTAATTGGCATTTGATTTCCAACTCAAAAACCCGCTCTAAGTAGCATGCTGAGTTCATATAAAAAAAACGGTTATTGGAAATTTTTGCTGAGCCTCAGTAAAATTTCCAATTTTCAAAAACCCTACTCAGGTTGAGGTTGCCACTGCGTTTATTATTGTTTTTACTTTGACATGGTTGTAAAATTTAGTACTAGAAAATATGAAATTTTAATATTTTTGTTTGTAAAAAACCGACCGTTAAAGTAAATTAAAGGTATTTTTGATAATAGTAACAAAATTAATAATTTATTTTTATTAGAATATGAATATACTAGCGTACCCTGGGTACTTCGCTAACCCAATTAAAATTTAATACAAATTTAGTTGTAAAGTATAGTCTATAGTTCACTATATAGCCCAGTTTAGTATATAGTATAGTCTATAATATAGTCTATAGCTTAGTCTATAATCTGGTCTATACTCTAAAATATATTCCAGACTAAAGCCTAGTCTACAGTTTAGTCTATAGACTAGTCTTGTGTCTCATCTATATTCTAGTCTATAACCTTATCTACAGTCATGTCTATAATCTAATTTAAAGTCTTAGTTTAATCTCTAGTCTAGTTTATACTCCAGTCTAATATATAACTTAGTCTATAGTTTAATCTATAGTCTGGTCTATAGCTTAGTCTATAGATTGGTCTACACTCTATACTATAATCAAGTCTACAGTTTATTCTACAGTCTAGAGACAAGTCAATAGCCTAGTCTACAGTCTAGTCCATAGTCTAGTCAATCATCTAGTATATTGTCTGATCTATATATATTATAGCCTATAGTTCAGTCTAGTCTATAGTTTAATCTATAGTCTAGTGTATAGACTAGTCTATAGTTTGATTTATTATCTAGTTTATAATCTAACCTATAAACAAGTCTAGAGTCTAGTTTATAGCCTAGTCTTTAGTCTCATACATAATCTAATGTATAGTTTAATCTGTAGTCTAGTGTTTACTTTAGTCTAAAGTTTGGTTTATAATATAGTCTATAGTTTAGTCTATAGTCTAGTTTATACTCTAGTCTATAGTTTGGTCTATAGTCTAAGTCTAGTCTATAGTTTAATCTGTAGTCTAGTGTATAGTATAGTCTATATTTTGATCTATAATCTAGTCTATCTATAATATTTCCCCAAGAGTTTCTTCCCTTTTGCATGTTTTATGTATAGGAAGGAACAAACTTCCCGGGAGTTAAATTTTCAGAATAAGTCTGGATACAATATATAATATAGTATTTAAGCTAGTCTAGTGTCTATTAGGGTTCTATAAATCGACTTTCGAATAATCGAACAATCGACTTTTTGTCGAAAAAAGTCGAAAAGTCGAAGTCGACTATTTTGTTCCAAAAAAGTCGATAACTCGACTATCGTCTATGAAAAAAGTCGAAAAGTCGACTTTGAAAATAAAAGTCGAAAAAAGTCGGAAAGTCGAAAAAAGTCGAAAAAAGTCAAAAAGTCGAAAAGTCAAAAAAGTCGGAAAAAAGTCGAAAAGTCGGAAAAAAGTCGAAAACTTGAAAATAGTAGAAAAAAGTCAAAAACTTGAAAAAAGTGGAAAAAAAAGTCAAAAACTCTAAAATAGTCGGAAAAACTCGAAAAAAGTAAAAAATAGTCGAAAAAAGTCGAAAGAAGTCGAAAATAGTAAAAAATCAAAAAGTCGGAAAAAGTCGAAAAGTCGGAAAAAGTCGTAAAAAGTCGAAAAAAGTCGTAAAAAGTCGAAAAAAGTCGACTATTTATAAAATACTAAAAGTCGAAAAGTCTAAAAGTCGACTTTTAATTAAATGAAAAAAAGTCGAAAAATCGACTTTTCATAAAATGAAAAAAGTCGAAAAATCGACTTTTCATAAAATGAAAAAAGTCGACTTTTAACTAAATGCAAAAAGTCGACTTTTCGTTTCAACTATAGAACCCTAGTGTCTATACTCTTTATGGTATAAGTTGGTACTATTTCAAAATTTCAATTATCCAGGCCTGTGCATGCTTTCGAAATTTAACTATTCTTTAGCATTCCCGTTTAAATGAAACATCAATTTTGTTTTTTTGTTTTGTAGTTTTACAAAATATATATTTTATATTATTTTTTTTATTTTTTAAGATTTTATATATAGTTTTATGTATATTCAATTTAATTTAATTAAAAACTCGTTGCTATAATTAATAAAAAAAAAAAAATAAGACGACAAGAAATTTTATATTTAAAAAAAAAAAAAATACTTTGATATATTTTTAGGAAAAATTAAATTTGGAAAAAAGAAAAAAAAATATATATAAATTAATAAAGAAAAAATTTTAAAAAAATCTTAACAAATTTAAAAAAGAAATTTAAGTTTTTGTTTCAATAAACTTTATTTTTTGTTTTTTTTTGTGGGTTGTTTTTTTAATGTAAAGAAAAAAAAAAAATAATATAATTATTAAAAAGAAACATCAACTATACCTTAAAGTATAAATAATTAATATTTTCTTGCGTTTTTTTTTTTTTTGTTTTTGTTTAACTTTTCACAAACAAAATCTATTTATATTTAATAATTATAATTAATAAACATAATTAAGATGAATTTATTAATTAATAATAATATAATAATAAAAAATAGTAGTTTAAATGTTGTTGTTGTTATTTGTTTGTTTTATTTGTTTCATTACAGAAGACGGATTTTTCTTTTAAATTCAATTATGGTCCAGAGTTTAAGTTATATACTTTTATTTAGGAATTTCTTTGTTTATGTTATTTAGGCAGGGGCGGGGGGACAGAAAAAGACGTGAATATATAAATTTATATTAAATTAAGTTTAACGGTTTTATTTTGCTGGTAATTTAAAAACTTTCTTAAAATTACTATTATTTAGTGGTTTTTGATAATGGAAATTAAAGTTTTTTTTTAACTAAAAGAAAGTTTTTAATAAAAAAATGAAATGCAAATGTTAAAAGAACAAAATTTTTTAAATTATATAATAAATTTTTTATAAATTTAAGCGTTTCTTTTGCGACATTTTTTTTTTTGTTTTTTGTTTTGAAGACTTAAATTTGTTTTCTTATAAAGAAGCTTTTCTAATTTTTCTTTTTTTGTTTGTTTTCAATATTTTTTTATTTAAATAAAAAATAATAAATGGTCTTAATTGATGTGGTAATTGTTGTTTTTTGTTTTATTTTTATAATAATAATTTTCATAAATTTTACGAATAAAGAAATTATGAATACAATAATTATTCATATTTCGCTTAGTTTTCTTTCTTTTTTTTTTTTTAATTTTTATTATTTAAAACTGAAAAAATTATTTAAAAAAATAATAATAAACATGGTAGTGTTGGATTTTAATTTGCTTGTTATTGTTACTGATGTTTAAATTTAAGACTTGTTTTTATAGGGGATTGTTGTTTATATAAATTGGCTGACCGATTGCTTTAAAATGTTTTCAAATTAAACAAGCTTAAATATGTTTGTTGTGGATGATAATGACAGTTTACATGTTTTCAAATTGATCGACACGACGTTTTGTATTGCCTTTACGAATTTCACGTAATGTCTTGTATTTATCACGTCCTTGGCGTACATTTTCACGATGAATCTTATCATTTTGGGTTTCTTTTGTTTCATCCCGGGATTGAGCCAAATCTTGTTTTAAGGCCTATTACAAAAAAAAAATATATATATAAAATTATCAAATATTTTTCATAAACATTCAATAACTTACCTTCAATTGATCATGTAAACGTTCATTGCGTTCGGCCAATGTACGTCTATCTTCGATGGGGTCTTTGATATGTTCATCAGTATCCAAATCACGTGATACATCACCGCCAGCATCACCATTTGTAAGTTCTTCTTCATTTTCGTTTTCATCTTCGGCCACATGATGATGTTGTGGTGTAGTGGAGGCGGCCAATAAAGCGGCAGCAGCTTCAGCCTAAAGCAAAACCGAAAAACATTAATATTTATTTAACTCTTATAAAACAAATAATTCTTTCATTTAATTATAGCATTTTACCGCTTTAGCACATAATAATTCTTTTAATGAATACAATGACATGCTGTTGCAGGGGTTTTATCATTTCAAACAGTTCAAGTTGTACTAAATGCTAATTTATAGGTTCAATCTTATTGGTGCGTTTTAAGTGCAAAATAAATATAGCAAGAGAGCATGAATTTGTTTTATTTTTAATTGTTATAAAGTACTTAAGTATTGCGTACTTTTTATAAATAAAGTACTTTTGCTTTGTTTCTTTTTTGTGGTTTAAAGATGAAAGGAAGTTTATATCGTAACAGTGGTATTGCCTCGATAGAATCAGAGGATCTATTACTGTAATAAAAGCATTAAATGGGAGAAAATTTGACAAATGTTCACTTCTTAAGAATGGGACTTTGATTATTGAATTTATGTCTATAGTCTAGTTTACGGTGTAGTAGTCTAGTCTATAGTCTAGTCTATAGTCTAGTCTAGTCTATAGTATAGTCTAGTCTATAGTCTAGTCTATAGTCTAGTCTATAGTCTAGTCTAGTCTAGTCTATAGTCTAGTCTATAGTCTAGTCTATAGTCTAGTCTATAGTCTAGTCTATAGTCTAGTCTAGTCTATAGTCTAGTCTATAGTTTAGTCTATAGTCTAGTCTATAGTCTCGTCTATAGTCTAGTCTATAGTCTAGTCTATAGTCTAGTCTATAGTCTAGGTCTATAGTCTAGTCTATAGTCTAGTCTATAGTCTAGTCTATAGTCTAGTCTATAGTCTAGTCTATAGTCTAGTCTATAGTCTAGTCTATAGTCTAGTCTATAGTCTAGTCTATAGTCTAGTCTATAGTCTAGTCTATAGTCTAGTCTATAGTCTAGTCTATAGTCTAGTCTATAGTCTAGTCTATAGTCTAGTCTATAGTCTAGTCTATAGTCTAGTCTATAGTCTAGTCTATAATCTAGTCTATAGTCTAGTCTATAGTCTAGTCTATAGTCTAGTCTATAGTCTAGTCTATAGTCTAGTCTATAGTCTAGTCTATAGTCTAGTCTATAGTCTAGTCTATAGTCTAGTCTATAGTCTAGTCTATAGTCTAGTCTATAGTCTAGTCTATAGTCTAGTCTATAGTCTAGTCTATAGTCTAGTCTATAGTCTAGTCTAGTCTATAGTCTAGTCTATAGTCTAGTCTAGTCTATAGTCTAATCTATAGTCTAGTCTATAGTCTAGTCTAGTCTATAGTCTAGTCTAGTCTATAGTCTAGTCTATAGTCTAGTCTATAGTCTAGTCTAGTCTATAGTCTAGTCTAGTCTATAGTCTAGTCTAGTCTATAGTCTAGTCTAGTCTATAGTCTAGTCTAGTCTAGTCTATAGTCTAGTCTATAGTCTAGTCTATAGTCTAGTCTATAGTCTAGTCTATAGTCTAGTCTATAGTCTAGTCTATAGTCTAGTCTATAGTCTAGTCTATAGTCTAGTCTATAGTCTAGTCTAGTCTATAGTCTATAGTCTAGTCTAGTCTAGTCTAGTCTAGTCTAGTCTAGTCTATAGTCTAGTCTAGTCTATAGTCTAGTCTAGTCTATAGTCTAGTCTAGTCTATAGTCTAGTCTATAGTCTAGTCTATAGTCTAGTCTATAGTCTAGTGTATAGTCTAGTCTATAGTCTAGTCTATAGTCTAATCTATAGTCTAGTCTATAGTCTAGTCTATAGTCTAGTCTATAGTCTAGTCTATAGTCTAGTCTAGTCTATAGTTTAGTCTATAGTCTAGTCTAGTCTATAGTCTAGTCTATAGTCTAGTCTATAGTCTAGTCTAGTCTAGTCTATAGTCTAGTCTATAGTCTAGTCTAGTCTATAGTCTAGTCTATAGTCTAGTCTATAGTCTAGTCTATAGTCTAGTCTATAGTCTAGTCTATAGTCTAGTCTATAGTCTAGTCTATAGTCTAGGCTATAGTCTAGTCTATAGTCTAGTCTATAATCTAGTCTATAGTCTAGTCTATAGTCTAGTCTATAGTCTAGTCTATGGTCTAGTCTATAGTCTAGTCTATAGTCTAGTCTATAGTCTAGTCTATAGTATAGTCTATAGTCTAGTCTATAGTCTAGTCTATAGTATAGTCTATAGTCTAGTCTATAGTCTAGTCTATAGTCTAGTCTATAGTCTAGTCTATAGTCTAGTCTATAGTCTAGTCTATAGTCTAGTCTATAGTCTAGTCTATAGTCTAGTCTATAGTCTAGTCTATAGTCTAGTCTATAGTCTAGTCTATAGTCTAGTCTATAGTCTAGTCTATAGTCTAGTCTATAGTCTAGTCTATAGTATAGTCTATAGTCTAGTCTATAGTCTAGTCTATAGTCTAGTCTATAGTCTAGTCTATAGTCTAGTCTATAGTCTAGTCTATAGTCTAGTCTATAGTCTAGTCTATAGTCTAGTCTATAGTCTAGATCTATAGTCTAGTCTATAGTCTAGTCTATAGTCTAGTCTATAGTCTAGTCTATAGTCTAGTCTATAGTCTAGTCTATAGTTAGTCTATAGTCTAGTCTATAGTCTGTCTATAGTCTAGTCTATAGTCTAGTCTATAGTCTAGTCTATAGTCTAGTCTATAGTCTAGTCTATAGTCTAGTCTATAGTCTAGTCTATAGTCTAGTCTATAGTCTAGTCTATAGTCTAGTCTATAGTCTAGTCTATAGTCTAGTCTATAGTCTAGTCTATAGTCTAGTCTATAGTCTAGTCTATAGTCTAGTCTATAGTCTAGTCTATAGTCTAGTCTATAGTCTAGTCTATAGTCTAGTCTATAGTCTAGTCTATAGTCTAGTCTATAGTCTAGTCTATAGTCTAGTCTATAGTCTAGTCTATAGTCTAGTCTATAGTCTAGTCTATAGTCTAGTCTATAGTCTAGTCTATAGTCTAGTCTATAGTCTAGTCTATAGTCTAGTCTATAGTCTAGTCTATAGTCTAGTCTATAGTCTAGTCTATAGTCTAGTCTATAGTCTAGTCTATAGTCTAGACTAAAGTCTAATCTATAGTCTAGTCTATAGTCCAGTCTATAGTCTAGTCAATAGTCTAGTAGTTTTTCGTGTAGCTTTTAGTACCATTAGAATTCCATTTAATGTTACCACTCTTCAATGATTCATATTATTTTTTCGCCCATTGGTCATATAGATATCACCTTAATTTAAATGTTTTCTATACATAATGTTGGTCTGTTGGGTGATGATCTAATTAGTTCTTTTTATAGAAGAAAAACACATTAAAGTAAAGCTGAATTTTGTTCTCACAGTTTTGAGTAAATTAAGTGTAATTTAAAATAACACATACAGTTTAATTAAACTAGGGCGAATTGAAATGTTACAAGAGAAAAAAACAATTGATATCAAAGAGTTGCAAAAAAGCTTGAGATCTCAATAGATATTGACAGAATATCCTGCTATTACTTGTTCCTCTAAGTGATTTATTCAAAAGTGAACAATGATTTATTAAATATCTGATAAACACTTGCCTGTTTACGTCTGGCTTCTTCAACTTCATCTTGCAGACGTTTGGTTTCTTCATCCTTGGCATTGACCTCGTCTTGAATGCGTTGCACTTCCATTTGTTTGGCCATGATTTCCTCTTCGAGTTTAGCCTTTTCGGCGGCTTCCATATTCTTGGCCTCTTCGAGACGATTCAACATGGCTTGCAATTCCTTCTGGCGCAATTCCAATTCATCCTTGGCGGCTTGCAATTGTTTCAATTGCTCTTCGAGACGACGAATCATCTCTTGGGCTTCCATTAAGTCCTTTTGTGAACGTTCCATTTCCTCTTGCATTTGCTTGAGACGATCTTCGTACTCTTGCTGTTTCTTTTCGGCACGTTCACGGGCAGCCAAAGCCAATTGGAGTTTTTCACTGAAAAATAAAAGCAACAATGAAATTAATAGCCATTTTATGGATAGAATAGGAAAATTTAGTTTCTTACCGTTCCTGTTGCTTAGCATTCTTTTCCTCACGTGCTTGGGCCTTCATTTGTTGCACATCAATGGTATCGGGCTTACGACGACGCATATACAACTCATGGTTACCCATGCACAAGGCCAAAATACGTTTGTTGATCCTCACGCGGGGAGCGAAGAAAACAAAATCGGGGGCTTTCTTATCGATGGGCTTAATGATGAACTTCTTGTCCGAAAAGGAAATATTACGAATTTCTGACCAGGGGAAACCAATTTTCGGTGTCAATTTATCCTCTTGCTCGTAGATATTCAAACCCAAAGCATCAACACCCAACCACAAATCGGTACCCTTTTTATTTTTGATTTCAAAATAGTTCACACCATACATTTCCAAATCCTGAGCAATTTTCAAATATTCCATCATGGCATCTTCGCGCAACATACCACGGTGTTCCTGCCACCAGGTCATTATCGATTGCTCCCATTCCTCCTTGGACATTTTGTGCTGATCGATGACACGTTGAGGCAATAGGCGATCATTGGCCAAGAAACCGGCTGTGTGTAGGGATTTATTGTGATCGCCGTGACGAGCCTGCACAGCATAGGAGGCCAAGAGGACTGAAGTTTCAGGAGGACAATAGATTTCATCTGATAATATGGCATTCTTAACTTGTAAGTAGAAGAGACGTAGCGTTATATCTTGGATCAATTCTTCGGCCACATCTTCGGGATAGAATTTAGCACGGAATCTGAATTGTAAAGGATTTTCCTTTTTAACATCTTGATTCATAACCTAGTGGGGGTGGAGGGTACGAAAATTAAGAGAATTTTAGTAGAGTTTTAAAATTATTTGAGATTTTTATGATTTTATTTTCAAATATTTAAAATAAACTTAAAACGAACTTAATATTGTTAAAAAAAGAAATAACAACTTGAAACTTAAAAAAAACTAAAGTCTTTATAAAAGGATAATTTAAGGAAAACATGTAAACATGTTGTAAAATAACTTTCAAAATTAACCAAAAATGTTTAATAATTTTCATCATTTAATTTACCCATGTTGAAAATGGCATTGATCCAGTCTGTTGGCATTTAAAATTAATAATAATGATAAAATTTTATTAAATTTTTTTTATATGTATATAAATTAGAAATCCTTAATTTAACATTTAAATTTAAACAATATATTATAAAATATATAAAAGGAAAAGCTGCTACTTTAAGAGATGGGAAATGTACAATTTAACAAATTTATTACTCTTAAATTTATACTACATTTTTCTACTTTTCTGATTACATTTATGAAACTGGCAGCAAATTGGGAATGTTTATTTAAAAGATTTTTTTCTTGTTTGCCACCCACCATATCTTCACCATCGCTATCATCACTTTCATCATTTTGATTCTGATGATGATGATGATGCCCATCGGCTGTTTTCTTATCCACATATTTTTTAACACGTTTTAAATATTTTATTGTTTTTATTGCCGGTGATTCGGGCTAATAAGTGTCAAAATTTATTATTTATTATTAAATATAAAATGACATTATTTTTTTCATTATTATTTTAAAATATTTATAAGATTTTTGTGGTTTTTAGGAGGGGACTTAAATTTTCTTTAATTTGCCAATTGTATGAGTTATTATTAACTAATACATTGAAAAATAACAGTTGAGATGATTTTTAGTTCCATTCTAGATAAGTTTTCGTTCAGTTTTAGTTCTGGTTAAGTTATAATTTCTCCTATATATGTATGTTTTAGTTCACTTCTAGTTCCGCTCTAGTTTAGTTTTAGTTCTGTTCTAGTTTAGTCCTAGTTCTGTTTTATTCAAGTTCCGTTATAGTTCAGTTCTAGTTCAATTCTGGTTCTGTTCTACTTTCTGTTCAGGTTCTGTTTTCTGGTTCTGTTTTCTGTTTCTGTTCTGGTTCTGTTCTGGTTCTGTTCTGGTTCTGTTCTGGTTCTGGTTCTGTTCTGGTTCAGTTCTAGTTCTGTTCTATTTCTGTTCTAGTTCTGTTCTGTTCTAGTTCTGTTCTAGTTCTGTTCTAGTTCTGTTCTAGTTCCGCTCTAGTTTAGTTTTAGTTCTGTTCTAGTTTAGTCCCAGTTCTGTTTTATTCAAGTTCCGTTATAGTTCAGTTCTGTTCAAGTTCATTTCTAGTTCAGTTCTAGTTCTGTTCAAGTTCAGTTCTAGTTCAGTTCTAGTTCAGTTCTAGTTCAGTTCTAGTTCAGTTCTAGTTCAGTTCTAGTTCAGTTCTAGTTCTGTTCAAGTTCAGTTTTAGTTCAGTTCTAGTTCAGTTCTAGTTCAGTTCTAGTTCAGTTCTAGTTCAGTTCTAGTTCAGTTTTAGTTCAGTACTAGTTCAGTTCTAGTTCAGTTCTAGTTCAATTTAGTTCAGTTCTAGTTCAGTTCTAGTTCAGTTCTAGTTCAGTTCTAGTTCAGTTCTGTTCTAGTTCAGTTCTAGTTCAGTTCTAGTTCAGTTCTAGTTCAGTTCTAGTTCAGTTCTAGTTCAGTTCTAGTTCAGTTCTAGTTCAGTTCTAGTTCAGTTCTAGTTCAGTTCTAGTTCAGTTCTAGTTCAGTTCTAGTTCTAGTTCATAGTTCAGTTTTAGTTCAGTTCTAGTTCAGTTCTAGTTCAGTTCTAGTTCAGTTTTAGTTCAGTTCTAGTTCAGTTTTAGTTCAGTACTAGTTCAGTTCTAGTTCAGTTCTAGTTCAGTTCTAGTTCAGTTCTAGTTCAGTTCTAGTTCAGTTCTAGTTCAGTTCTAGTTCAGTTCTAGTTCAGTTCTAGTTCAGTTCTAGTTCAGTTCTAGTTCAGTTCTAGTTCAGTTCTAGTTCAGTTCAGTTCTGTTCAAGTTCAGTTCTAGTTCAGTTCTAGTTCATGTTCTAGTTCAGTTCTAGTTCAGTTCTAGTTCAGTTCTAGTTCAGTTCTAGTTCAGTTCTAGTTCAGTTCTAGTTCAGTTCTAGTTCAGTTTCTAGTTCAGTTCTAGTTCAGTTCTAGGTCAGTTCTAGTTTCAGTTCTAGTTCAGTTCTAGTTCAGTTCTAGTTCAGTTCTAGTTCAGTTCTAGTTCAGTTCTAGTTCAGTTCTAGTTCATTCTAGTTCAGTTCTAGTTCAGTTCTAGTTCAGGTTCTAGTTCAGTTCTAGTTCAGTTCTATTCAGTTCAGTTCAGTTCTAGTTCAGTTCTAGTTCAGTTCTAGTTCAGTTCTAGTTCAGTTCTCGTTCAGTTCTAGTTCAGTTCTAGTTCAGTTCTAGTTCAGTTCTAGTTCAGTTCTAGTTCAGTTTTCTAGTTCAGTTCTAGTTCAGTTTAGTTCAGTTCTAGTTCAGTTCTAGTTCAGTTCTAGTTCAGTTCTAGTTTCAGTTAGTTCTAGTTCAGTTCTAGTTCAGTTCTAGTTCAGTTCTAGTTCAGTTCTAGTCAGTTCTAGTTCAGTTCTAGGTCAGTTCTAGTTCAGTTCTAGTCAGTTCTAGTTCAGTTCTAGTTCAGTTCTAGTTCAGTTCTAGTTCAGTTCAGTTCTAGTCAGTGTTCATGTTCTAGTTCAGTTCTAGTTCAGTTTCTAGTTCAGTTCTAGTTCAGTTCTAGTTCAGTTCTAGTTCAGTTCTAGTTCATTCTAGTTCAGTTCTAGTTCATTTCTAGTTCAGTTTCTAGTTCAGTTCTAGTTCAGTTCTAGTTCAGTTCTAGTTCAGTTCTAGTTCAGTTTCTAGTTCAGTTCTAGTTCAGTTCTAGTTCAGTTCTAGTTCAGTTCTAGTTCAGTTCTAGTTCAGTTCAGTTCAGTTCTAGTTCAGTTCTAGTTCAGTTCTAGTTCAGGTTCTAGTTCAGTTCTAGTTCAGTTCTAGTTCAGTTCTAGTTCAGTTCTAGTTCAATTCTAGTTCAGTTTCTAGTTCAGTTTTAGTTCAATTCTAGTTCAATTCTGTTCTGGTTCTGTTCTAGTTCTGGTTCTGTTCTGGTTCTGTTCTGGTTCAAAGACCTATGTACGCATAATGTATTTCTGCAGAACATAGATGAAAAAACAACCCTGTAAGCTATAGGTTCTGTTTTTATCAAATCTTATTATATACCTAATTCCAATAAAAACCTATTTTTTACATAATTTTTCTTTAAAATGTTTAAGATTTTTTTAACTTTGTAATTAGGTTAATTGCAATATTTTTTCTAAAATTAACATTCTAATAAAAATTCCAATAATTCTTTTATAAACACTTACCTTTTTGTATAATTTAATCCATGTGGAATCACCTTTAGAATCGGTATATTGTAAACCAAAGAACCAGACTTCACGTAGACCGATTGTCTTGACAACTTGATCGAAAAGCTGTTTGCCGGTGGTAGTTTGCTGGATAGCAAACTCCAATTCGGCATCCATAGTGGTAACACGGACATTTAG